TATTTTGTTGTATTTAATCATAAAATACACAAAGTAATAGAAACATAGAACGAGGGTCCATAAAAGGCTTTAACAACTCAAAAAGGTGCCTGATAGTGGCTTCAATATCAGATTGATTGCATCTATGATTTTTTTCTGATCTTTAAAATACTTAATTTTAAGTTTTCATTGATATTTTTTATCATATTTTAATACTCGTTTGCTCTTTAAAAGCTCATAGTTTTCATTTTTAATAGTAATAAATATTTGGTCAGTCATCATACGACCGGCCCTTACGAAAAACAATAAAGAATTCATACTGATAAAAAAAATTGTTGCTAAATGTGTAGTCGCTAAGCGCAAATCTCCAGAGTATTTGGACCAAAAATAGTAAAAATAACCTATTCCCATACAAACTGGGTGACGCAACGATCGAGGGATTAACTAATATTAAAATCAAAAGTGTGTTTTTAAACAGTGACCATTTTTTATCATATGATTTAGAATCGATATTAGAACATTATACCAACAAATCAAAAAAAATACGTGCAAATTTTGTTTCCTATTGTTTGGTAGCAATAAAAAATTTAAATATATATCATCAATCACTTTTCATATGCTATAAATGTTTTCTCAAATTCAATTTTATTTTTTTTACGAAAAGGGTGATGTTATTTTCAAACAATTATTATGAACATAATCACTTGGTACTACTTGCATCTAGTAACAATAACTCTAATAAGATCATGTTAAGATGTCATGTACATTTATTTGTGAATAATAATAGTTTTGTAATAATTTGCGAATAACTCATATATTACCTCTTGGAAAGGAACATATTTTATTCAGAACGAATTCACAAGAAACACTAAAAAGAACATTCTTACCCAATAAGCAAAAAGGTGGGTAAAAATTCAAGTAATTTCTATTGAAGTTCAAAGGTCGAGAGATCATTTTCCCGACACATTAAATATCCCTGACATATAAAATAATAATTATAATTGATTGATATAGAGCTAACGCTGGAAATGATTCAATCCCAAAGACAAATCCTCTGTCCCGTCTCTCAGGATTTCAATATATATTGACGGTATCCTGGAATCCAAATGTTTCAATTCGTTGTTTCAGTTCGTGTCGTATAAATTAGGACGAGCGAGTGTTAACACTCCGGGGACTGTCAGGGTTGTCACAGCGAGCTTTTCAGCATATTTTATTTTTCCACTTCAATTTAATTCCCTCACGGAATTTCTAAGTTAGTACAGCAGTCGAATAATGTTAATATAAAAAATAATGCTATAGGTGAAAAAATAATAATACAAAGTGTCAGGCCTACTAGTTATCGTCGGAAAACTTATGACGTTTATTTTAGGACAGCAAACGTTTAATACAGTCGATCATTATCATAGCTCGATTATAACGTACTTTTAATCTCTATTCACGGTTAGCGCTAACAATTGTGTCACATTTCTTAAAAACTATTTTATAACCCACATATTCACTTTTCAAATTCCACTCTCGCTTGTGTATTCTCGATCTATAAAATCTGTCATTTCTTTGGTGGCAGCTGAAAAGAAGTATTTTGCTTCCTCAGCAAAAATAATAAAATGGCTAATTGTGGCACACTACATAGAATATTCTAGGCTTTTAGCGTGTCATTCTTGTAGTTTTTATTGTTTTTATGTACTGTAAATATATGCCGATCGTACAAATAAATATTATATAAATCTCTATAAAAAAAAATGACGCAACATCTGACTACCAGGCACTATTTGTGATTTTTAACCAAGGTACATTCGATATTGTGCCTGACTCTCTACTCAAATACTACGATTATATTTGTATATAACATCAACCGCATGTGGCGGCAGCCCTGTATATGTGTTGTAGTAATTTGGCATAAGCGCTGCAAATGAATTAGGAGGCAGCGCTCCTCTGGTTTATTTGGAGCGAGAGCGCCACAACTCCGCCGGGCTTAGGCGATCCCACACCGACTGTATTAATTACTACTCTAAATGATATTATGATGCGAATATACCAAAATCACTAACTTTCAAAATATTTTTAACAAATACGGTTCAAATAAGCTATATTTAAAGACAAGAGTATAATTGAACAAAGGGCAGTGATTGGGTTAAACGATAAATTGTAAAGTTTTCAGCTATGTACATCCAAATGTTTATATTTATTCCACTTCATCACACTTAGGTTCACGTCCTCTGTTATAGAGAAGATTGGTAAACATATGAGTGACCTTGTAGCCGGGGGTTGGGTGGGATTATGTAATTTTACAAAAATTGAAATGATAATGAAATATTGTTTCTTTTTTCAATACTTTTTCATGCTCTATTTCGCGCAATACGCCATCTTGTCTCTATATGAAGTATTCACTGACCTGTTGAGTTCTGATGGTAACCTGATATACCTACTTACCTATTACCCTATACAGTTATTGTGAGTATTATGATGACCATCTAAAACTATTCAACGAATTTGTTATTTATATCGACCCGTCGGGGTTATCGGCGTATTTCAATATTACGTCGCCAGTCCACATTATTAAGGCAATCAATCATTTGAACCGATCAACCGACGGATCACATCAAAAGGTCGTAAGTAATTGATGCCGAAACTAAGCCGATTAATTGTACCACCGAGATCGATGACCAAGTCTTAAATCATGCAATATAAAGATATATTTATCTCAATATTCTTGTCTTAATTACTATTGCGGGAATCATCCCGAGATGTCTATTTCTGAGAACGTGAAACCTTTACAGCCTTGTGGTACAAGGGTGTGCAATTTGTATTTTAACCTCTGAAAAATAGACTACAATAAAAAAATGTAAGATTGGTAATCGGACGTCCCTAGCTGCACGCGGTTCATCGGCGCAATACGATGACAAACCGTATCTCGAGCTCGTCATAGTATACGCGTATTACGCGTGCTGTGTGCGTCGATCTGAAGAGATACTGACGACGCTAGATATACAGGTACTTAGCCGAGAATAAAGAATATTCATCTACATTGATATTTATCTTAAGGAAAATTCTTTAAAAATACACCAATCCCATGTGACCGAGATAAATATTATAGAACATCATACATTACTCTGATTCCAAGATGAGTAGCTAAAGCCCCCGTATAATGGAGTACCTGAGACAACGAAGGTACAACCACCCAGGCCCGAGAAAATATAGAAAATCCAATTTCTACGTTTAAACGACAAATCAAACCCAGGACATTAGATATTACTCGACTATGGAGGTATTTTTGTTATAAAATATTTCACGAGTCATTCATAAGACTAATTTCAAAAACAATACGGTCACGTTCATACATCGACGGCCGCATCGATACAACGGGCAAATTATTTTTTTTTTGTTTTTATTTTCTTTTTTGTATGATATCTTAGCACATTATATGCACTTTACTGAGATCTATACTAAACTGTTGCACTTTTGTTGTTGTTTAAACTTTTTATATCTAGAATGTAAACAGTTTTTACGATGTCGTTTTGCTTTGAAATCTTTATTATACTTAGTAATGAGAAAATGCCGTAAAAAATAATTAATTATCTCTTTTATGTCAGAAATCTATGGAAGAAAGCTTAAACTAAATAAGAAGAATCTAATGCACAACATAACTGAAAACTAAAATAATCCTATACTGTTTCATTAATCTCAAAACATTCAACGTAACAACAAAAATAATCAACATTATTTGTACTTATTAGTTTACAAATTTTAGGAAACAACTTTACTGCCCCAGCAACCTAAATAGTCGTAAGGGCAGTAAGGTCCTACGAGCTATGTGCTCGGCCCCTTGCCTCGTCAGATTTGTAATTCTTTGGGCTATATTGATCACTTTGGTCCGTCTCATTTTTATGAGGCTCAAAGTTAGCAATTACTTCTCAGTCTTATAAGACATCACAAGCAATACACAGTGGCTTAAAACCTTAGTTCAAAGACACGACGGTTATCAAAATAACTATTCGGATATTTCTACCGCTGCCCAACCGATTTAGATTCGACAATTGACCTCTTTCTCGAAATTGGCCCTTCCTAGATAGATACCTATAATGATCAACAACTTTTTTTCAAGTATAATACATATACAGGAGTAGTTATAACATGGACATTAGATGTGAGCTTCATCTTGTCCATATTCATTTTGAGACAAACTTCTTGAAAAACTCTCCTTAGGCCTTCTAACATTGTGTCAAGCTCTTCCAAGTCTCAGTCATGAATACGATATTATCGACAAATCAAAGGTGAATAATATACTCGCCGCAGTACATAAGCATAAAGACGTTTTCCTAAAAAAAAATTTTTGTGTAACAGCTCTTACACGTTTATTCGATGCGGCCGTCAACATGTCATAGTGTAAATAATAAAAGTGTAAAATATCCTGTATATAATTCATCTAGTCATAGCATGGCATATTTATTAATTCTATGTAAGTAGTAGCTAAATATAATGTTACATGTTAGTCTTCTGTTTATAATAAATAATTCCTAATTAATAATTATAATTAATAATTAGATTGCATTAGTTATTGTACAATCTAGCGACTCAGAATAAATATTCCAATTTCAGAGAGCTTAAATGGGGATCTTTTACGTAACCATATTACAATATTTCATCACAACAGATGTTTCTTATATTCCCTAATACAGATGATTTAAGTGGAATCGTACGAGAATATAGATTCGATAAAAATAGATAAATATATTACGGTACTAAATGATTGTGTATAATTTAGTAATTGTCGTTCAGTCAAAATGATACTTTCTGCTGTGAGGTCTTGAGATCTTGACTTTGCGTCAGAAATAATATTTTATAGAATAAGTAAGGCAGAGGAGTCAGAGTTTTATATATTTTCTTCTACAAAAGGAAAATGGCGTGATATATTACTAAAGTTATAGAATACTTAAAAAAGCAATGCAAACATTGGGTGTTATAATTTAACTTTATACAAGTATTATAGAGGTAATAAATGTTCGTGTGTTTGCATGTTTCAGAGGGCAGCGCGCCGACTGACGAGGCCTAGACGACCGGCACATTTGTAATATATTACTAGCAACAGTCATATCTATAGATACAACATACTATATGTCCGCTTCGATTTATATTTAAAGACTCATGTTAAGAATAAAATTTCCATGTTAAATGTTAAATAACAATTCATTTGGTATAACCGTTACTCGTTCCCACTCATTTCCGGTGGCAACCATTAACGATTAGACGGTTTAGTTTATGTTATTAATGTTCCGTATTATATTAATAAAGTTTTTAAAATTGCGTACAAATGTAGCTCTACCTACGTCATCTTCTAGAGGTAATGTTAAATCTGTAGTGTATAAGCCATGTATACAAATATTTGTAACTGTGTTGAATATACTTTAGACTCTGAGCCGGTGTGACCACGTTACATGCTAGTTAGGTACTAATGATATTAAAATTAATTAATTGTATTTTATTAGAGAGTTGATGTGTAAATTGTGACGATACTTCTAATGGAGTTAACTTTTGTCCAATAAAAGTTTATTCGGAGCCGTCACGAGTTTTATTTTCCTGTCCATATGTTGTCGCATATTCCTTATTATCTAGAAAGCTACTTCAAAAATATACGAAATATTGCAAAAGTTGTCGACTTTGTATTGTAATTGAGGTAGCTTTGTTATATATAGAACGTTGCTTATAATAGAAACATTCCCATGTATTGAAAGTTAGTTGTATTGGTTTACTAGATACGTTTTAGAGCATGGCTCATAACTTAGGGGTAGGTACTCACCCCCGCGGGGTCAATCGTCTATTCTGTGAACGGTACCAACAAACCTAATAGTTACGAACAAATATAAAAGAGTAATAAGACTGCCTCGATATTTAGCATTTCATAATTTTCATAAATTAACGATATTTTGAATTGGATGTTAATGGGAATTGTTTAAAGCAAGCGTTAGACTGAAATATCTTTAAAGCTATAGAGAAATGTAAAACGTAACACTTGAATGCTAGCTGCAATTTTTCGATGGGTTGAACTAAGTTTAACTCGTTACAAAAGCTATTGCGACTTTTAAACGTTACGTTATCCATAAACCGCTATCACAAATGCTATACCTTTGAAACTAATTGCACTACATTTTGAAATTAGACATTAAGCGTACCTAGTCACCTACCGCACTTAAAAATCTACAAGATTGTGATATATAAATAATCTCCCTGGACTTAAGGAACAGAATATAAACTGTCCAATTCAACATGTTCCACTTCTTCCCTACCACCCATTCAGGACTTCTTTTGGCTATGGAGAAGAACGTGCACTAGAAACTCTTCAACATTCAATAGCAATAATAAATTGACAATAGAAACTATGTTGTTACTAATTTATGGCTGGACGCAGGAGGAGCACCCCCTTTGGATAATAAATATACAATGGTATATTGTTTGGACGTTTGAAATATTAATTCTGTTTTTAAACATAACACAAGATGGTTCCGTTTACAAGCTCCTCAGGGCCATTAGGACAAATCGTGTGCTCTGTTTGAAGGCTGCGTCGGCACCACTGACACGTGACATATTGCGCTGTCAACGGCAGTTGCCACATTTTGTTGGAGAAATGCAAAAAGTGACTGAAGGAAAGTTAAACCATACGACGTGCTATTAAAATGATTTCTTTTAATATAAATCAAAGCATTAAGTGTATTCATATTTATTTATTGGCACTATAGGTACCTACATCTATTACAATAGCACCAGTAAAACCAATTATATTAGGAGACCATACAATTATTCCATAATTTATTTATTGATTAAGGAGTACAAAAGATGTCATGCTACTAACAAATTATCGCGTACCTTACTTTACTTTACCGTAAGACCGAGACTGACATCGTTGAATTAACTGTGCCGTCCGGTTAATTTATTCATTTTTCTATTAAATTAAGCGTTACGAATCATTTTTTAAGTAGACAATTGAGTTTTAATTGAAATACAACGTTTATTAAAGTAATTACCTAATTAGAAGCTTATTATGAGATAGTCACTACCGTTAATAAGGTAATTGGAAGCTTATTATGAAATAGTCACTTCTGTTAATTAGGTAATTGGAAGCTTATTATAAGTCACTTCTGTTACCGTTCCAAAACATAAATTTAGCGGTGTTTGGGTTTGCCAAAGCAATACTTATAGATTTTATAATGTGTTTAACAAACAGACGAGAACTTAGTTAACTCGAGTAATCTATGCATAGTATAAAAATGTCACTTTCCTCTGTATGTACTCTGAAATCTTTAAACTACACATCGTATTTTCGGCAACATTCGGAGTAATCTAAAAAGAAGTTTTATACGTATAATACAGGACCTCGCGGGCGAAACCGCCGGCAGGAAACTAGCGTTGCGACACCAGATTCAGCACCTTTAGCTGATTAGCGGTAAATAGTAATTTAAGATTTAAAGATAACTTTAGGTTAGTTTTGAGAGCAACTGAACGCTTCTATGAGCTTTAAACGAAATGAAACATAATATCAAAATAATGGGACTCGCGAGGGACTCTCTAAAATATTTATATTATTTGTTTTTAGTTTGTTTTATTTATTTATTTACCAACGTTTTACACATTTATACATTGTACAACATAGAAAATCTTATAACTTTAGTGTCCTACCGAAACTGGTTTTTACGACCAAAACCAAAATCTAAAAAATTGGCGGATGTATCGACGCTATCAAGCAAGGCACAGTCATTGGACAATGTTTAACCTTACAGTATAATAATAGAATGAAAGCAAGGGAATGAAAAATCTCCCCAGAAAATCCCTAGGCTGACGTGCTTTCTGGAATCAATTTTGATGGGCCGATTTTTTCATCCAGTACTATTTGTCTAGATGATATAAAGTGCTGGTTTGACGTCTGCCTCTCTGGCATAAACGTAGCCATTTCTAATCCAACAATACTGAAATCTATGTTTTTGTGCACGCTTCCTTGCAAGATGAAATAAATTACGATACTCTTTAGTTAGTCTTTCATTAAAAGATATAGAGTTCTGTCGTTATTGGGCGCCGGTATTTTACAGCTTTCTCGTCACGCCTCGTTTCCGTAATAGTGTAACCAGTATGGGACGAGGGTCAAACCTATGCCGCACAAGTTATAGTTCTCTTGCTCTTCAAGTCATGACATTTCAATTTCGTTTTTAAGGTGTCTTAATCTTGTTCCACCACCACTGCCACGTAATTTATTTATGCTGTTCATTTCGTTGTCAACAGTTGGTTTAGTATAAGTGTTGTTTAGGTGAGGCACTCGATTAGTTGATCGAATAGGAGTCGAACAGTTGTCATCCTTCGGTAGTACTTTTAAATATGGACTCTCTCTCTTGCTCGACCAACCTAGTTAGTAATTTGTCTAACTAATAAGATGTAATTTAAATTTAAGTTATAAAGAGAAATTAACTATTTATAAGTTGTTTTTTCTCTCTCTCTCAAAAATGATTATCTTAACTGAAAACTAACTATAGTACGAATTAAGTACTATCCTGTCATCCACTGACAAGTAGGTATTTAACTTAGGCCCATTTAGGCAGCACTACTATTTACCTAAGCGTATACATTTAGTTCATAAATTTCCTTTAAAGCTAAACTCCTAAAAATAAATGTCAGTGAGCTTGACAAACACATAGAGTTTCCAGAATATTAAAAGTTATTCGAATGTATGGACATTTATTCTAATCTGTTTCATAATAAAATCACTTCCATCAGAGACGAGAATGTATGCTGTATCATGTTCCTCACAAGCTATATTGTATGCTCAACGGGCGCCCACCGCGCAAACAAATCACGAGATTGATACGGGGCGGGCGCGCCGCCTGGGCCCACCCGACGGGCGGGCGCGCGCCACACTTCGCACTTCCCAGATTGTCACGTCACTCACAGTGTACACTCACACCGGGAGTGTAGTGAGAACGCTACGCTGCTCGCTGTGTGTATGTTAGCACAATATAAACACTGAATTTGTAATAATAATTGTTATCAAATTAAAAAAGCTGACCTTGTATGGGTAGCCCTATCTTCTCCTATTGGAAAAATTAAAATTACATTCAGATTTCTTTAAGTTACGCAAGTGTAACTTCAAACGTTTACACGTTCACACAAGCAAACTTCAACAAGTTTAAGTGGCACCGATAACTCACTTCAAGTCCGACATATACAAACGATTGGCCTCGTCTTGAGAGTGATGCAAGTCACTTCAAGATCAAAATATTGCAGTCAATGTATTTGGTCTTTGATCGTCTTTTTAAAAATGCGGATGTTACTTGCCAGTTATTTAATTAATTTAAAAGGTAATCCAATACCTAAATAATCTCTGGACTATGTTAACCGATATAAATACGTTGTCCTGTCAATGTCCTACCCGACCCGAGGTACCAGAAGTGATGGGTACAGTTGTGATGTGACACAGAAAGAGACAGGACACGTTGTCGGTTCATGGTGGAATGTTTTACAGGACACTTTCAGTTCACACTACACCACACTAGCCAGTGCCACTGGCCAGATAGACATATACGACTATAACATATCTATAGACTAATTAGGTAAAAATAACTATTTCACATAAACAGTTACAGAACAATAACTGGTTATAAATAACATCGTATAGTTTGTAACTCAATTTTCTACTAGTAAATATCTTCTCGCGTTATTTTTTTTTATAATTAAATTAAGTAATTTTAGTATCATCACCCATCACGTTTTATTTAATCTCTCAACAATAAGCAGTACACGTGTAACAAAAGCGAAAATTGTACACTCAACAACACGTTCCGTTATATAAATGTGTAATGTTTATCCACTTTTTTTTAAATTCAACACTTTGAAGATAGTGTTCAAAATCAACTGACATGGAGCCTTGTTTATAAATATCACTTAATATTGTTAGATAGACGGTTCTTGATGGCGCTGTGCCTTTATTGCTGAAGGCACGTTATACCGGCTACATCTGTAGTCGCCAACACCCACCGACCCGCACTGGGACCGCGTGGCGGGTACCAGTTTGATTCCATCCATATGGAAAGGCCATACTCCAGCACTGGGGAATGGTCTAACTGATTAATCTATACTAGTATTAGAAATAGGTAAAGTGTCTAACTTTGTTTGTTTGTTGGGGTAATATTTAGAAATACCGATCCAATCTTGACAAGTCTCTTACGTACGGTTAGCTGCATCATACTAGGGTAGTATAGGCCATTATTTACACGGGTGCAGTCGCGGAAAAACAGCTACTAAGTGATAATAATAATTGGAAGCTGAACGTCAAAAATTAAAACTGTCGTGACTGTCCCCATCTGTGCGTCGTCCGCCCGCGACGTCGCCCACTTAAATTATAGCCTAAGCACCCGCGTCGTCTCGAATCTTTCCTCTCTATAATATTAGTACAGATAACGTATAAAATATCCACAAAAAATCCAATCACATTGCAGCAATGGAAACACCCGAGCGAGGTGTCGACTGTGAGTGATTCCGTTTCAAATATGCTCGAACTCTGATATATTGGCGGCATTTC